GAGTGTTGTCCTTTAGCATTGTGGAGGGCCAGGAGATGCCAGTGAGAGGACTGAGGACCAGCTCTGCTCTGATGAAGTTTGGGTCTGTCAGAAAGAGGCTGGCTTACCACTATTGACTAGAAGCAGTAAATTATTTCTGTATTTTATCTGACTGGCATGTGCTTACTGCTAGGGGGATGATTTTACCTCAATGTAAAAATAAAAATAAATAGTTGAAAATATTGCCAAAAAAGTAATAAAAAATTGATGCGGTTTGCCCCAGGAGGAGCATCAGAGGGTCACAATAAATGATCACATCATTCAGCACCAAGGCACAGCTCCTCTGCAGCTCTGACCTCCAGCAACCCCAGGTTTTGCCATGGGAAGGGGTCACAAATCTCCAGCAGAGCTGTGGGTTTGCCCACCCGGTCAGCCCAGAGCTGTTCGTGATGGGACTTGTGTCAGACTCTGCTTGGCCATTCCAAGAGATTTAATTGGCACTTACAGAAACAAAACCTTTCTGGTTTAAGCACATTTGGGGAGTTACCTTACCGTCTTCATCAGTAATAAACTGTTCCTGGCTAAGGTCATCTTTCATCTGCACAGTAAATAAAACTGTCACTAAAGCTGAGTTTCTGTTTCTCATCAATCATACAATACAATAAAACTCAGAGCACAGTACTTAAACCACATTTTTTAGAGAAAAGGCAAACCTTAAGGACGTTTTAGTATAATCATTTCCCTTCAGCTGATCAACATAACAGACAAAGTAATTTAGGTGGAGAAATGTGATATTAAAGCTTACAAACCTAATAATCAGATTGCCTTTAGAGGCAAAAATCAAGCTAGCTTTCCAGGCCTCACCATAGCCATTAATTAAATACTTAGCACCTCTTCAGTTAACATTCAAAGAACATTTAAGCAAAAACCCAGCAGTTTCAAGAAAAAACAACCCACTCTAGCTTATCTTTTTAATTCCAGTTCTATTATGTAGGTAGTTTTATTGCTATCAAGGAACATTTCTCATGTTTGTAAGAAGGAATTCAACTGGAAATATTAAAATATGTTCAACATGATGCTTATTTTTATCTAAAGGAAGATAAATTATTATATGTATGCAAGCACTAAAAGCAGTTGCCAGAGAAAATAGGATTTATTCTCACCACACCTGCAATATTTCAGCCACTACAGGAAAATATTTCTCTTTCTGAAACAATTAGCCTAATTTGTAGTGAGCTCACACAGACTTCCACAGCACTACTCTGCTGAAGATTATTACTTGCCTAAAATATGATGCTTACATTTTTCCAGTACATTAACAAATAGCACTGTTTGAGAGAAGACCAGGCAGGAATATTACACCTCATACTCTGTGATTCTCCCAAACCCCAGATAATCCCACACCAGTCAAAACAAATGATTCAGGTTGCCAAAACAAGTAGTTACATTTCCCAATCTTCTGATAACGTTTTACGTAAATGCAGAAGCGAATCTGGCACAGTCTGGAACCAGGGCAGGGCAGATCTCTCCCAGCACATTCGACTTTTCAAAACCCAGCACGTCAGCAGAGCCTTCATAACACAAGATGCACACCTTGATCTCTGAAGGGCTTAGGAGGTTGTGGGGTTTGCTTGTTTACAATTTTCAGACAGATGGAATCTTGGTTTTCTCGAATTATAATAGAAAAGATAGATAACAGTGCATGGAAAACGCTAGAAAAACCCTGCTGTCAGGTCCATCTCACCACATCTGTTGACATAATTTAGAATTTATTTCCATGGTGTGGAAAATGCAATTTTAAATTATTTTTTTTACCTTTTTTGAATCCTCACTCCCAAGCAGTCAATGGATCTTCCTTTACTCCTGGCTGCCCCCCAGCCTCAGGGACCTTTGTGCCATTGCCTTGCAGCCCCGTGCTGGAGCTCTCTGCCAGGGCAGCTGTGGGAGATGCACATTGCCTGGGGGCATTGAGTTCTTCAACAAACCACCCTCCAAAACAACTGCATTTAGTAGAAAATCCCAAACCCTTGTGCCTTGTGAGGTGCAGCTTGGCCACTGCCCACTGCACACCCAAGACCTTGAAATGGTGGCTGATCCTCTCAACTCCAAGTCCATGGAGTTTTCAATTCCTTCACCTCCTGTTTCGCTGAGGAGAGAACAGCTTGTCCTATTTCTTGTGAAAAGAGTGCCAAAGATAGGAATATTTATAAGGAATTTGTATCTATCTATCCAAACCAAAACATTCAAAAATCATGACTCACAATCCCCTCCCAAATCATGGGATTAAATTAACATATCAAGGGATTTTAAAAGATGCTGTTTTAAAAATTATGGAATACTTAAAATTTGTTTGTCACGCATTACCTTAAAATATTTACATAGCCAGAAACTACACATTTTTATCAACAGTTAAAAGAGGCAGAAGCTTACCTAGGGAAAAAAAAATCATCACATATTCATAAGATTCCTGGAGGCTGGACCTTTAAAAATAGTCCAAGTGTTACAATTCATCACATGTAAATTTATGGGATTTGGCAACAATGCACTTGTCTCCAGGGATATTGGAAAGAGGGGGAGTGCTCTTGGTTAACCTTTTTTTTTTTTAATAGATACAGCATGCTGAAAGTGCCCTACTAAGTATTTCCTAACTCAGCCCAACAATCAGTTTAGAACACTATGGAAACACAGCAGAGTGTGCTTATCAATGCCCAATCACTAAATATTTTGGTGTTTGTTAACCAAAACTCAATGCATTCTGGAAAAAGACCAAGTGGAAAATAAAATTACAATTTGTGAAAGCACATCCTGTCCATGCCTTTTGCCTAGAGCAATCAGAGGTGGGAAGCCAGATTTAATAAAAAAAAAATGTAGAGTACGAACCATTTTCAAGTGGTTGTTCACTTTTTTTATTGAAGGCAAAGACAATTTCATGGAAAAAAATCCCCTTTACCCTACAGTCTTTATTTTTACTGATTTTTGGTAACAGTGGGGTTTTTTTCCAAAATAAAAACTAAGTTTCCAAATCAAAAGGTGATGGTGTAGAAGGGAAGATTATTGCCCTTAGCATTCTTTCCTCAGTTTAAAAATTTGAAATACCACAACCATTCCTACCTGTCCCCACACCTGCTGTACCAGACAAGGTCACTGCTACTTCTCAGCCCAGCCTCCCTTTTGCTTTTCAATCCCACAGTGCTGGCTGGTGGCTGTGATTGCTTTGTGCCTTTTTACCACAGTTTGCAAACTGCAGCCCCGGCACAGGGGAGGTGACAGACACCGAGTCTGGTGGCATCAGACACGGCGTGTGGCTTTGCTGCATCTCAGAGCCTCCTCCAGCAGGTACCAGGTGCCAGTAACTGGAGCTGATCTACAGTTTGTGCTTTTCTGTGTACCACACTCCTACTCCTGAGGAATATTTACCATCCAAAGCCAAAAATACTGCCATAAGGTGTGAACAACATCAAGTCTCTTTTGTTTAAGAGGAAACACAGCGAGCGGCTGGTATTTTCCAACATGCAATAATTTTATAAACATTCACTAATAGAGTAACTTCCACCATACCTGCCATCCAACCCTTCTGGGGATTGTGGTATTCAGACTCCTGCAGTACCCAGATCCGCTCCACAGTGAGTACAAAGGCAACAAGAACAACTCACCAAAGCTCTGTGTCAGTCACAAAATTCACAGGTCACTTCCAAAGTGGAGAAAAAAAAATTGGATGAATGATATTGCTTGGCTTCTTTTTAATCCTTGTTCCAATCTGAACAGTGAGAAATTTATATTGTACCTGGGGCCCAAATTTCAGTGCCTCATCCCTATGGCCTTCTGTTTCTTCATTCCTATACTTGAAACCCCACTATACTGAAATAAGATAATACTAGGGTATGAGTGACAAACAACTCTGCAGTTTGGTACACACATTTGGAACAAAAATGCAGCTATTTTGTTGTTTCCACTCAAATGACCCAGTTAATTTCAGTGTTAACATCAGCTGTCAAAACATCCTCTTAGCATATTTGCATCCCTTATTTATTCAGAAAAAAAAGGTGCAATAACCAGGCAGTTATCAGAGAAACAGAAAACACTACACAGAATGGATGTTTATATTTAATTCTTGTTATTCCATCACTGTCTATCACATACTTAGTACATTATATTCCACACTTGGCAACACACAAATAAATCCAGAAAGTTTGTGTTCATACTGGAGATACCCTTACTTTCCTTTTGGAACTAATGCAGCCCAGTGAAGACACTGTCAGTAAAGCCCATGTACCATGCCAGCCTCAGTGTCCTGCTTGCAGCCTTCCAATACAACCTTTGCAAAGCCAGCACTGCCACCTGTCCCAGCAGCCACAGCCACCTCTGCACTGATGTCACCCACCATCCCCTTCCTCTGCTCTGTCACCCACCATCCCCTTCCTCTGCTCTGGCCCACGGCTTGGGGGGACACATGACTTTATGTTGGCCATCCATCACTGGAGCCAAGGAATCTCCTCAAGGCAAAGACAGTGCCACCATCCCAGAGATGGTTTTAGCTGCTGCAATGTTTGCTTAGCCCATAGGAAGTGTTCAACACGTTCCCTACATTTCCCTCCTTGGAGGGAGAGTGTGGATGCCGTGGGACAGAGAGAGAGAAGCGGCAAGCGTTTCTCACAGCGGCTTGTGAGAAGTTTTAGGGAGCTAGAAAGATGTGATAACTTGTTGAATCTTAACAATTTGCAGGTGGTGCTTTTCTACTTTATTTTTCTGTTCCTCTCAAGGACAGTGTGTGAGAAAGATGTTTCTGTTAGTTAGCCAATAGAATAGAATCTATCGTACCACTGTATAAAAATCGCGTGGTTCTTTTGAATAAAACCTTCTTTGCCTCTTGTATAATACTGCCTCTCCCCTGTTCCTGTCCCGACCCCGGTGCAAGAGTGACAGGAGAGCACATTTCCACTCTGACGGATAAAAAAGCCACAGGTAGCAGATCACGTTGGCTCCTTGCCTTCAGCTGCACCTCATCCCAGAGCCCACCTTACCTCTGTACACGGTATCCACATCCTCACCAGGAAGCTGCTTCCTGGCAGCTGCCCTGCGATAGACCACGTGTGTTCTGCCTCCCTCCTCCTCCTCCTCCTGGGCTCCCCTCTCCAGAGGCTCGATGAAGAACTCGTCCTTGTCCGTGCGGATCATGCCAGCCTGCAGCACAGGGCAGAGATGGAGCACTTTGCATTACTGCACGTACAGCAGGCACTGCCAGCAAACAGTCACAATATGCTTAAGCACACTTTAGTGCTCTCTAGAGAGCAATTAGGATGCAGAGAGGAAACCAGGTGAATTCTTTATTAGAGCAAAACAAAGCATTGTTTTCCCAGCTTGACAAGAAAGGACAAAAGGTACAACTCTGAACCAAAAGGATTTCTCCTTGAGCCACACGAGCCAAGTACAGGGCTAAGAATCTATCTGGGAAATCACCCTCTCCATTAAAAAACATCTACAATGGAAGTTACTATGACCTTAGCTATCCATCAGGCCCAGACCACTCCAGTGTTTACTATTTCTGCTAAATAAAGGAGCAGATCAGTGCCATAAGCTGATGTGCACTTCAACAGTCAAAAGTTGTAGAGTCAGCCTTTCTGTCCAGAAGCAAGATAGAAAATACTGCATCTTACTTTCAGGCAGCTAAGCTTTGTGATTATTTCCCCTGTGACACAAAGCCAACAAAATAACCTTTCAATAATTAGCTACAACTAGTTTGAGTGTCAGTAGTGCATTGTTAAAAAATAACCCAACTTATTCAGACTGGACCAGATACCCTGGTATGAAAATAGAAATTTGCACTTCTACAGGGAACACCAAAGGAGCGTCATCCAAGCAATTCTCATTGTGTTCAGAAGAAACCCTTATAAAGACTGAAAACTTTTAAAAAGAAAAGGAGTTTTTGTCATCTTTATGTAGGTGAAACAACTTGGGCACCTGGATCATCTGGGCTTGTCTCCTCTTGCAGTCCTGCCCAACTGCAGGAGGTCACAGCAGCCAAAGGCTGCTTGCAGAGATGGTTGGCTTGAATCAATTTTTTCTGCATGTTTGCACATCTGTGTTTGAGAACTTCAGCTACTGAACTCTCAGCTTGCAGACAGTCTTACTATTAACACAAATGAAATTGGTCCAGATCTAGCCTCCAGAAGCTCCTTCATCACATTCTTTCCCACTCTGCCCAGAGACAATCCTGGAGACGCTGCAGTTTATAATTTGTACTGTGACACTTTCTATATTGCTGTCTGAGCTTCTGGGAGCCTGAATCCCCTGTTCAGTGAAGCCTTACCTCAAGCTTCCAGGAGAACCAGTTTGGCTCCATTGAACCCAGTATCCTCAATTGAAACAAGCACATCTAAACACACTTATCATATTCCAGCACCAAAGTTCTCATACAGCACATATTTTTCTTCTACAAGCAACAAACTACATTCCTACTGCTATAAATACAGTATGTTCACTGGTTCCCTCCTTGGAAAAATGTCAGGTTCATTTGTCATGTCTTAACTTACATTAGGAAAGATTTCCAGTCCCAGAATTCGTATATGTAATGTATACAAAAACAGATTGGAGAGGAAGGATTAAAGAAGCAAAATTATATCAAAGCAATTTAAGCTGATGCCATCCTGCCTGTATAGAGGCAACTGAATTTGAAATCCTGTTTCTTCTTAACTAATTTAGATTCTACATCAGACACAGAAAAGGTGAGACAAGATCAGCAGCTCAAGGAAGTCAAGACAACCAAGAAAATAAGTGCTGAACCCAAAGAGACAGCAACTGGTCTTTTACTGTAAAGGGGAATACATGAAAAATTCAGACTTGACGCTACTCTCCTTTTAATGTTATTCTAACTACATAACATACACAGTTCTTCTAGATATTAAATATTATATCCAGAAATTTGTAACTCTTTTTATGATAAATGCACAACTAAACATCAAGAAGGAACAAGCATTTGCAAGTTCAACAGCACAGGATACAATGCACATGCCATACTACACCCAAGAGAAATACACTGAGAGCTTGACTGTCATGTGAAAAATATGTGATTTTGGTTTTTGCAAGTGAAAAAAGCACCATGGTTGCGCACATGTTCTTATGTATTTTTGGATACGTTAAGCCTAATATTAACTAAGCAGCTAATGCCAGACCATAGTTTGGGATGCAGACCATAATTCAGGATACAGGGGGAAATGCTGCTGTACATTGTGCGCAGCAGGGAGTACTGATGGAAGTTTGGAGGAATTTAGATCTTCTAAGAAAATTTACAAAGCATCAACATCTGCAATCAGTAGTTGAACTGACTGGACAGAGGAACAGCTCTTATAGGTGAACTTTAGCTTCCAGGGTATGATGGCCTTTTGAAAATGAAAACTCTTGGTCACAGTGAATTCTCTTCTCTGAGAAGATGAAGGTGACACCCTGGGACAGGCTGTAAGACTAAACAGAAAGAGATATTTGAATGCTGGATCCCAAGACATAAAACAGTGCTTAAACACTGACATTTCCTGCAGGTCATTGTGCCTGGTATTAGCCCTTTTTTTGTGCAGGGATATTCATGTGGCACTGGAAGCTGCCAAAGAGCAGGACAACATCAGGTGCTCTCGTTCCCCACTCTGCTTCCTGGATGGACATGACACCACTCTGCACATCACCATGGCAGCATTCCCCTACATCTGTAGGGGTATAGAAAGGAAGGAATTTAACCTTCAAACACAGAATCATAGAAATTCCTGTATTGGGAGGGCCCCCAAGGACCATTAAAGCCCAACTCCTGGCTGCATGGCTGAATGTTCTCTTTCTCATTTTATCTTGGTCTACACTGAAATTTCTCCTTTCTTTTAGTGCATAAAAACTCAACAATTATTTTTGATTGGAATTATTAGGAAAAATGTATGTTTGAACTGTAAAATTTTTATATATTGCGTGTCCTACACAGTCTTTGATTTAGCCAAATTATTGTCATGAAATAAAATACAGTAAGAAATATAAGAATGGCTGTTTCAGACTTTAAGAAGAAAATTCATGTAGATGGAAAGGCAGAGTTCCTACAGCAATCCACAGTTCAAGTCATCTGCCTAATAATATAACCACAACTATAAATGATTCATTAAGAAATATGTGGGGCTCCTGAAAGTCTCCACCACACATTTCCTTACTGCTTTGAGCAAGACATTTAACCTCTTTACTTCCATTTCTCCACCTCGGAACCAGCATAACAACAGACTTGCAGGATAATTGCATGGCCTGATTTGGGGTTTTTTTTTGGTCAAATGCTTTGAACATGGAAAGCTCAAGATGAATTGCCTAATGCATTTTTTTCTGATACTACTCAGAACACCCTCAAAAAGCCACCATGAAAGGGGTATTGCTTTTAGTCATCAACTCAACATCAGTGTTGTGCGCAGCCAAGCAAGTAATGGGGAGCAAACGACAGCAAAGGTTTGCCCACATCCTTCACCCTCCACCAGTCCTGTTCTTTTCCACAGCTTCCATCACCCCTGTGCCCGCCCATCATGCCACAACCACTGTCAGACAACCACCAAGTTTGTGATGACAACAGAAAGCCTTCAGGTTGCTGCAATTTCCTGGAGAATGCCTAAGATAGAAATGCTGTATTGTTTGAGCACACCTGTGCCTTCCCTTAAACTGGAAGGGCTTCAGAAAATCCTTGCACAGTCATCTTCTGGACATTTACTCCACAAGACATGAAAACAGATTTAAACCTTTCAATTGCCCGTTTCCCCAAAAGTTCTGAACAGAATCACAGTAGGTGCTTCCACAAACTAAGAGCTTAAAAGTACCTGTTATTGTAGTGTTTTTCTATCCTATACTGCTCACCACCCATCCCAGGAATATTGCACTTCCAGGCATTATGGATTAGCAGTGATCACCCTGCTCTACCACCCTGCAGCCACATACACACAGTGCAATCCATAACCAGGCATGGAATTGGCATCTCCATGGAAAGGAAATCCAATTCTGGAAAAACTGCTAAGCTCTTACCTCTTCCTCTCCTCTTCTGGGACTTTTAACTTGAAACTAAGCTGAATATAGGAATATTGATGATGGCAGGTGGGATTGTGTCCTGTGACTAATGAAAATATAAATTAATAGAAAAAGTGTTTGCCTTTGAAATGCACCAAATTGTAGCAAAGAGCCTACAATATCCCCCTATTTCCCAAAGCGGGACATCCCCAGGCCTTCCTTGCAAGGGCTTTTAGATCCCAGCTGCAAATTACTCAAGTCAAGCACTGCTTGGCACTCATTAATATGCATTAAAGACTAGAGCAGAAAACACTTAATCAAAAGGAAACGGCAGTTCAGAGAATCAAAACCTCTGCTAAGGCTGGCAAGGTGGTTATTTAGAAGTGAAAGCCACACAGAAAAAAAAAAATCACATGGAAGACTGAGAAGGAATGTCCTGTCTAATTATGACACCAATTACACTGATAAGCACAAATGAGTCCATTTGTGGATCACACGGAGTTGGGGTCTAGAGTTCCACCCGTCTCTTTTGAGGGTAACAGGGCTCCTGTGCATCCCTGAGACCTCCTCCCGAGGATTTCAGGGATCACAGGATCTACATGTACTGGCCACAGCCTCACGGGCTTTCTGCCCAGGTTAGTGACACTGATCCCATCCCACACGACGGAGATCTCCTCCCCAGCCCAGGAGACCTGCCAGAGCTTTGCCACCACACCACAGAGCTCAGCAGAACAGCAGGTTTCTTCTCCCATCTCCTCACACCCCCAGCCCCTCCTGCATTTCTTAAAGACATTCTTCAGAAGCCTAATTTGATGGAAAAACTGCCTGGCATATTTAGATCTACAGAAAACTCCAGGTTTTGGAGCTTGAGCTCCTGTGGATAATTAAATGTCTCTCTGGCTCTGCACTTGGTGGGCGACTTAATTGTCTCCTCATTGCATTCAGATCACAGCTCCTGGTTCTGGGCTGTAATGAAGTGACCCATCCAGTGGCTGCTTCAGGACTCCAGAGCCTCAGCCCATCCTGAAACCAGGAGTTTTAATTAATGTTCATTTTCTTCCTCATTAGTACAGATTTACAAAGCTTCTCATTGCCATAAAAAGGCAGATTTACGTCCCAATCTCCAAGCACATGATACAGATAGGAAGATAAATGCAAACAAAGCTGAAATTAGT